TCAGAGCTTCCCCCCTACAGATTTTGGAATTTTCTTTGTCTTGCACTTTTGCGAGTTTGACTTTAATATGCTGTGGAAGTTCTTTTCTGATCATGTCTATTTTGGGTTCTATAAGCCTCCTGTATATGGAAGTCCATATCATTTCTCAGGTTAGAGAAGTTTTCTGTTATTTTTTTTCATTGAATATGTTTTCTATGCCCTTGACTTTTCCCCTACTTTTTCTTTGGGCACTCAAAAAAATGCAGATATTTTCTCATTTAATAGTGTTCCAAGGTCTCAATTTTTTTTAATCCCCCCCACTTTTTTTAAAATGATTAGGATATTTCGAAAGATCTGCTTTCAATTTGAGATATTCTATCTTCTACTTGATCTAGTCTGTTTAGTATTTCAATTGTAGTTTTTATTGGACTTATATTTTTATTGGACTTACTGAGCTCTTCATTTCCAAGATTTCTTTTTGGTACTTAAGAAATTGAACAAAGCTAGAAATTTTTATTTATATACCACATTGTCTTCCTAATTTCACTTAACTACATATCTGCATTTTCTTGGATCTCATTGAACTTTCCTACAATAAGTATTTTCTTTATCAGATTTCTTCATAATAAGGTTATGTCATTTTGTGGGCATTAAAATTTTTTCTGTGTTGCTATGTCAATTTGTGCCTCTGTTGAGCCTCTACCACTTTAATAGGGTGGCTTTCTTAAGTGGCTTTCTCACAAAGATGTCTTAGGGTGTTGTTAGGAAAAGTTGGTTTTTGTTTCCAACTAGGCACAGTAATTTAACTTCCTTATAGCTTCTTCAGTTGGAATTAATGATTTGGGGACCAGTGGGTATCACAGCAGAACTGGAGGAACCCACTATCTTTGCAGGATTGCAAGAGTGTGAACACTGCAATGGCCCAGTCAGGTGTGACACAGACAACAGTAGGGTTCTCACTGTGTGGCTACTTTTGCAATGGAAAGGAACCCCAATTGGAAGTTCCCTCAGGCACTAATGGTGCTAACTCTGCTACTGGCAAGAGGCACAGGCTCTGGCAGCCCCAGCAGAGATGAGGGATTTTAAGCTTCTAATCTCTGACCATGCCATAGGGCAGGCCCAGAAGCTGCATGGGGAAAGGTGTGGCAGAAACCACAGCACCCAGTCTGTGGTCCTCAGATCCAGTTCTGATAATAATGCTTGGTCAGATGCAGTGCAAGTCTGGGCAGCAGGAGGAACTGCAGTGTTCCTCTCTGCTGCTTCACTGACAGTGCACACCTGGGGGTAGAGTGGTAACTGGGGTCACAGATTTTCTCCCCATGTGCCTGGGAACGGGGCAGCATCCAGAGCCATGGCAAAGTTCCTCTCTTCCCTTTTGGATGAGCATGCCTGGAGACAAAGTGTTCAGTTAGAGCCAGGGAATTGCTAAGGGCCCCTCAGCTTGCCTCCATGGATGGGGAAGCAATGGGAATCCTCCCAGTCCAGTCAATAACCAGGTCCTGAGCCATGGTACAGAAGGAGGAACAGCTGGAACCAAGTGGGTGCTACTTGGAGTTCTGATACTGGCATGAATTCACTCATGGTTGGTGTCACCTTTGGTCTCAGAAGACAAATGCTCTAATGTCCTGTTTCTTGAGATCACATAACCTTATTTTTCCCTCTTTCATAACACCTGTCCCCTATAATTCAGAACACCCACTGGGCTTGGGTTCCAATCACTCTATTGAGTTAGGTTTGGTTCATGAGTTAACTAGCCCACTGAGCCAGTACCATGTGATATATTTGGAGTCCAGAGATAGCACTATGCCGGGGTTTCTAACACCTTAGAGCAACTCTAATTCAACAATAGCTTACTTCCTAGGAACACAGCAAGGACTTTTCCTGGAAGATGAGATTCTTTTCCAAAGCCTGGCTGCTGAGCAGATTTCAGGTTGCTTAACTATACACAAACCTGTGAGTACTGTGAAAACTTCCATTAGCTAGGATTAAAAGTGCCCATGCTGATGGGGTTTTCAGGGACCCATTTACCCTTGAAAAGGCATTCCTCGAAGCAGTGGAGGGGCATTGGTTGTTGTCAGGGTATTTTGTTTCTATTCTGTCATCCAAGGTCCATTCTGTCTTCCTAATTTCCAATGTTTTCCCACTGTACTCACCTTAAATAAATTTACATACCTGCAAAATTTGGTTCCTCTATGTGAAGGAGGTGGTGAGACCTGGGCACATTTTTAGTCATCTTGAACCTTCATAACTTGATAAATTTCTTAAGCCCATGTTGAATGTCTCAATCATATTTTCTTTCTAGAAATGCACACAAGTGATATGTTTTCTGAATCTTTCCAATATCTTTTTCACTTCTTTATACAATGAAGATCATTTGGGAAAATAGGAATTTTGAGCGATCAGATTTTTCTTTAATTTTGCAGATATTTCTCCATTCTCTTTCCTGGCATTTATCATTGCAGAAGGCAAATCTGATACAAACTTTTCTTTTTCTTTTATTAATTTGGATTTGCTTACATTTTTCTTGAAACTTGCATGGCTCTCTGTCCTTTCTGGTTATCATCTTTTTATATTTGACTTATGAATTCTGACAGCATCTAATTTAAACTGATTCAGTGTTAGACACTTAATTCCTTTACTGACTCCAATAAAGATGCTAATACTCTCCATAATTTCTTGACATTTATCTTTACCTACTGAGCTTCTAAATTTATTCTTATGATTTCTGGCTCTTATTTCATGGAGTTAAGATTCTTTTGTTGCCATTAAGTATCTTAGGCACTATGAAAAATGCTTTTTTATGTTCCTGAGGTAGTAATCACTCATGTTCTAAAATATCATTCCACTTGTGTTCTGCTTTTTTCTCCTTTATTCATTCCTTCCCCCCACTCCCACCCCCGCCCAGTGCTAGGGATCAGGCCAGGATCCTACTCACATTAGGCAAGTGCTCTATCCCCGAGCTATGCCCAGTCCCTCCTATATTTATTCTTAATGAAACATGTCAACTGATGGATATATGAATTTCTCTTCATGACATTCAATGTCTTTTAGAAACTAGCTATAAGTCAGCTAGCAGGCAGGCCAACAAATATATATTCTTGCCCAATTCTGAGATTGTAAGAGGCATTCATCTTTGTTAATGATGCTCTCTGTATATGAATGATCTAGATATCCTTCTCAGGCTATGATATTATAAACAGATTTAATAAATGTAGACTTATAACTTTGAAGTTAGCATCATTGCAAAAGCTTCTGTGTGTTTGCCTCAACCTATAACACTTTTATTCCTCAAATCCATATCTCCATGATACAATGTGCTAATGCTCTTTTCTCCCCCTTCCTCAACTTGTCAGATTAAGTAAAAGCTATACAGGCAAAATTTGAATCTCAGAGTAAAACATACTTTTTTAGCATACATATGTCTTAAAAGCACTTGGGACATGTACTAAAAATTTTAGTTCCTTTTTAATATTAGGGATATACTTACATGCATAATTCTAGTTTATTTGAAATTCAAATTGAATAGGGCATCCTGTATTTTTATTTGCCCAATTCTACAACTTTACAAGTTCTTCTACATTTCTCCCCACTTTTGAGAATCTTATAAAAATGTTTCTATAACACATATAGAAGTAAAATGCATTAATGAGCCAGACAGAGGGTATGTGAAGAAAGGCTGGGCATCAAAGGCTCTCTGACCACTTAATGCCATGAGTACACCTGTGAAGGACATAGTTGGCTCTTTTCTTGCTGCTATAGTTCTGGTGTTTGAATCTGAGGAAAAATAAAATGGTTTGAGGATTCCTTTCTTTCAACTGGGCAGCTTGCTCTCATGTAAGGATTTGGCAGTTGTGAGTTTCCATTGCATTTTTTCAATTTAATTCTATTCATCCTGCATTTGGATGCAAAAGTTCTCTGTGAAAATTGTAGTGTTGGGTGGTTTGTTAGTTTTTGTCTTTATTGTGTGAGAAATGGGAAGAGGCTGTCCTGGCCTTTAGGAAGATGTGATTGGCACTTGTGGGTGAATAAATACCCCTCAACTACAATTTCTGAACTATTCTGAGAGGTCCAAAATCAAAAAGCCAAAGCCAAGCATTGATTATACCTGGCCTAATGAAACTACCAAAATGAAATTGGCCAAAGCTAAATCTACCTCCACAACACAAAGGCAAAGTTTTGGGGAACAAGAATTACAAGATCTTGTCATCTACGGATGTATTCCAAGTAGTGCTTTGGTTCAGTTTTTGATTGTCCAAAAATGTTTATTATAGTGATTCAGGGCTATTTGGACCAGTGAGGATTTTTTTTTTTTTTGGTGGGTCCCAGTAAGGAATGGTTTATTGAAGATATATTCACCCTTTGCCTATTGTATAGCAACATAAGGCATTTTTTTTTAACAAGAATTTCCCTTTTCTACTACTCTGGGACACAGTCAATCACTTAGCCCTCACATCACTTAGAATCACACTTAGTTGCAGGATCATCTGCCACTGACTGTTTTGCAATCCTCACAGCACATAAAAACAGGCTCAGTTATAAGAAAACATCTTCAGAATTGGTCCTGACACTCATAATTCAACCAGTTCCCAGCTACTATCTCTTCTTAAATAAGTCATGCATTTAGCTCAGTTCAAAGCCTGACAAAGGTTATAGACCTTGCTTTTGTGTCAGTGTGCAATGCCTCGTGCTGTGCTTCATCTTCCCAAACACAAGCCAATCCACCTGCTTTGCCTATTTGACTTCTTCCAGCTGGTTTCCCATTTGTCTTGATTTACTTTCAAGGTTTTTGCCTTACTGACTTATCAAGGAAGCCTAGGCATTTATTTTGTGAAGATTCTTTTTTATAGCTGTGCAATTTGATCATCAGAACATAAGATTGGTGGCAATTATAATTACTGGGGCTTTGTACAACAAGATTTTTTTTTTTTTAAGAAGAATACAGTCCCTAAGAGATAGGAACTGATGAGGAACTTGTGTGGAAGGAGTCCTTCCTTCCACTGCTGCTCATCAGAGGTGTTGAGATAAGCTGGGGAATGCCATGTAACATATAACCTCATGGCTCTTTTTGAATTTCTTACACTGAGAACAGGTTGTTCTGGGAAAACTAACTTTGAGGAGAACTGCTAGACAAAAAGATGCTCCTTTGGGATCCAGAAATGGAGATATTCAAGAGACTTAGATCATGTAGTAGCTGAGTATTCTCTAGTCCTAGGTGCACTCTATTTTGTTCTGCCTCCCCCCCTTCTAGAGGGTTCCCTATGTTTCTGTAGCGGAGCAAGTAGGAGTCTGGAAAAACCCTACTGTTAGTGATTTACCCCCACAAATCTTTCTTTTCCTAACTTGTAAAATGAAGTCAATAATTCTTAATTAATTGTATAGTATATGATTGAAAGATCTGCCATACTAAAACATTCAAGGGGTGGGGTGTTTATTTTAGACCAAGATTTGTTTGTCTTCACATAACCATTTTGAGGTGGGCATTCCAAAATGGAGGGGTGGCTCCACTCCTGTAAGTCATTTAGAAGCACAGTTTCCTTCAATCTAGTTGCTATGTGAGTTCCAAGGCCATTTTCCACACTGACAAGGATAAGGTTGAGTAGCAGCAAATCCAGCCTGTAAGAAAGATAAAAAAGGAAGTTCAGGTGAGCCATTTTCCTTAAATCTCACACCCAAGAGCTTTGGCTCTTCCACTCATGCTATTGGTGAGAGCTTAATCACATGACTATACCTAGCCACATGCAAAGCAGGGAAAAGTCATCTTGAACAGAGAAGCCATGTGCCCAGGAACAAAGGGAAGATGAGATTTTTGAGGGCAATCGTGAGATATAAATTTAAATAATTTTGAAGTGCCAAGCACATGCTACTCTGAACTATTACTGAAGGCCTAATAAGAGAAACCATATGTGGGCAGAAAAAAAAGCTTTTCTTAAGAGATTGATTGGGAAAGGGGAAAATTGGAAACATGATGCATAAATTCAAACATAGGCGGGGAATAGGAAGCACTAAGTCAAATTCCATTACATTTAAAATTTAACTCACTCCTGAATGCTTTAATTAATTGAGGGTAGCAGTGGAGGTTGGGCATGGCATAATTCTCCTGAGGGACCTCTTCAGACACATGACAGGGATGAGAAGCCATTCCCTTTCTGTTGTAGGGCCCATGGCTTGTACTTTTTGTTTAACATGTTTTTTTTTGGAAATTATAGGTATTAGATAATTGCTACATTATTACTTTCTTTCAACCAAAATCAGTATTAAAATTTTTTTGAGACTTTTTTAATATTTACTTTTTAGTTTTCAGTGTACACAACACCTTTATTTTA